AAAAAAAAAAAAAAAAAAAAAACCTCACAATTCAACACACCAATTTCTTTTTATTTTTTTTATTTTTCCAATTTCACCAACAATCGAAAACCACAAAGCACGGAACTCATCCGACACCAATTAAAACTCACAATCGGCGACAGTATAGCAACAGCAAGAACCCTAATTGGAGGTTCGCGGAGCTCCAATTGAGGAAGCACGCACATTGGGAGAACGACAAAGCAGCAAGAAACGCAAGGAGAAAGGGAAAATGGAATTAAAAAACAGTAGCAATTAGTCCCAAACCTAAAGCGAGAAAAGAAGCAGCGTTGTGAGCACGAAGAGGAAGAAGAAGTTTGTTAAGAAGCGAAAGAGAAGAGCGAAATCGGGAATCGGAAACGAACCTTAAATGGTTGCAGAAGAGAGAGAGAGAGAGAATGAGAATTGAGAAGAGAAGAGAAGAGAGGGAAGGGAAGGAAGGAGTAGTAAAGGAGCAAAGAATAATTTTGGTTCACTTCCTTCTCCTTCTTCTTCTTCTTCTTCCTATGCCAATCCCACTCTCACCTGCTTTCACGCGCTCCACGAGAGCGTCTTCGCTACCCGCGCTCTGCTTTTCTTAACACACCATGCTTTTAGAACGGATTTCCTCTTAACTATTTTCTCTCTCTTTTCTTCAAAGGAATATCAATTTTGGTCACCTTCTCTACTCTCTTCTTCCTTCTTTCTCCATCTTGTTTCTATTTTCCATCCCCCAATGTGCCCAATCTTTTACGTTTAACTATCTTTTTAAAGGAATATAATTAATTAAAGATTTGCTAATATATGTTAGAATAATTTTTTATGGATTTTTTTTTAATTCACAGATATTGTTTATCATATTTCGTTGTGTGATAATTCGTGATAATAGACTCATCTTATTTCATACTCTGTCATTAGAAGTGGTGTTTAATATTTATCCGAAATCATGAATATACACAAAATTAATATTTCTCTTTTGCTATATGTAAAAGTTGTTAATATTTATTACACAATTTAAATTATGTTATATATAGATGTGTAATAATTAAGAAAAAAAATTTGATGATAAAAAGTTTCGATACTGACTTTTTTTTATGGATATGTGTCAAATTGAATTTGTGGCAAGATATTAAATAATTTTTAAATTTTGTAAGATTATAAAATTAATTAATGTATTTACTAAGAAATTTTATTAGCAAGAGTCAAAGGCAACTTTAATGGAATAAGTAATATATTTAAAGGTGTAATTAGTAATTCCTATTATATGGTGTTATTACTTAGTAACTTGTACTTAATTTTGCTCCAAAGGAAGAAATTATATGAAACATCAAGAAACTTATAATTTTTTCATTTTATTTTAATTTGATTTGTAGCATTGGTGGTTCCTATTGGATCCAAAATGTTATTTTTTAATGGTAAGAAACAGTTGCTTTGCTAAAATAATTTTTAAAAAAAATTAAACAATTTTCATCGCTATGTCAAGTTACTCTAATGAGAAAGTTGTTTTAAGTAATTAAATTTTCATTAAAACACCTCAGCTAGCATCTCTCATTAAAAAATGTTCTTACTCTCTTAGGACAATCTCTCCCCTAATTATAATAACAACGTATAATTAATAATTCATTAAACAATAAAATGTAAATTACAAACAACTCTTTTATTCATAAAATACATTAAATTTTTTTTAAAATAAAATACATTAATTACAATAATCAAGAGTCTTATTAAATGCCCAATTAACATTTAATATGTAACCAACACAAGTTGATGGATTATGTATTTAATACCTTTAATTTAGATTTAAAATTCGAATTTTGATCATGAAAAAGAAACTAAGTTGAGAGTGAGATTGCCCAAAAGCAGTCAACCAACTTTTCTTCATATATAGATTAGTTATCGTTAAAGCTGGGGAATATTTTACAGTAATAATAAAATTAAAAAATAAAAATAACAAAAAAACTCTCATTTATAAAAGTACTTTATTAAGTCATTATTAGGTTGAAAACAAAATACAAAAAAATTATAATTTTGAAGAATTTTCAATGATCCATTAAGTAATAAAATATAAAATATACATTACAAAAATATTCCTTATTTACAAACAGTGAGGGAAAAGCAAAGTCAATACTTCATTTTATTATAATACGAAAGTTGAAATATTATAAAAGTATTATTTTAACTATTTTTAAAATAATAAATATAACAAATGAATGTATAATAATCGTTAAATAAATCTAGTAATCATTCTCTTGATATAAATTATAATAATACTACGCTTTATGCACGGTTCAATTTTTTTTTCTCCCTCATTCACTTTCTTATTTTATCATAACTAAGTTCTAAGGAGGTTTTAGAAAAGATAATCGTTAAAGTGTGTAATATGAATTTAGGGATAAAAGTACCTAATGAGAAAGTGAAAACCAATAGATTATTATAAAAATCTACTCTCTTTAATAGTTATATATATTTATTTTAGAGGATTTTGCGAAAAAATGATTGTTAAAGTGTGTAATATGAATTTAGGAATAAAAATATCTAATGAAAAAGTGGAAACCAATACCAAAACTTATTCTCTTTAATATATCTATATATATATATTTAAAATATAGCTCCTTAATGATTTCATTATGCACAATGCTCTATTTGAAATTTATAAAACAAAGGCTTTTTCTTGCAATGATAATCTCTTCCCCTGTTGTCCAATCATTTTCTATAATATATATATATATATATATATATATATATATATGAGGATTTTGAGAGAAAATGGTTGTTAAAGTGTGTAGTATGAATTTTTGGATAAAAGTGCCAAATGAGAAAGTGAAAATTAAAAGTGATTATTTTTATTCATTTTATAATAAGTATAAATAGGTTTTTAAAGAATTTTGAGAAAAGACGATCGTTAAAGTGTGTAATATAAATTTAGGAGAAAAAGTGTCTAATGAAAAAGTGAAAACTAAAAGGATGATTATTAAATTTTATTCCTTTTAACAAGTATAGATGTAATAGGTATAGATTATTTAGGAAATTTTTGAGAAAAAATGGTTGTTAAAGTGTATAGTATGAAATTTTGGATAAAAGTGTCTAATGAGAAAGTAAAAACTTGAAATGAGATTAAGAAAATTTATTCCCTTTATAATAGGTATAAATCAAAAGTAAAAATATTATAAAAGTAATACTTTAGCTATTTATAAAATTAAAATTCATAAATATAATAAATGAATGTATAATAATTGATAAATGGATTCACAAATCATTTTCTCTCTACATAAACTAGTGTATTAAAAGACATTTCATGCCTTCGTATATATTTTTTTAAAATAAAATAAAAGTGAGCAATTAATAATAAAAAGGTGTGAATAGTTTTAGGTAGTTGTAGTTATAAAGATAGTTTTTGGGAAAAAATAGTAGAGGAAAATAGAATTATTTTAGGAACAAAATTCTCCAAAAAATTTAGCACCAAATGAGATAATCTCCTTTATTGATAATATAGATTATAATAATGTATGCTTTATAAAGTTAACATATATATTATGAACTTTTAATTTAACAATTAAATTGCTAAAATTTGATAATGAATACAAGTTATTAAGTGGACTAAATTAATCAAGGCTTACTATTAGAGTAAGTGGATCAATCATCTATCTATCTATCTATATATGACGAGGGTTTAAACAACATTGATATAACTTTTAACAACTATTACATTATTCAATAACTTTCAATTAAATTGATTTTTTCAAAATTTATCGTTTGATTAAAAGTTCCTTCTAGATCATATATAAAAAAAATTATATTAATTCGATATATATATATATATATATATATATATAATCTTAAAAACTCAATATTATTCATATGAATTATTTTTATATTTACTTTAATATTTTTTTAACTTCTTAATTCTTTGAACATCTCATTTTTCCTATTTGTTTCAATATTTTTAATCCCTAGTTTATTTTGATTTAATTATGTTTTTAATCCTTCAAATTTAAGGTATATATTTTTTTATTCCTCAAACTTAAAACCTTTACTTTTAATCCCTTAAACATAATAAATTATTTCAATTCATCAAATTTAAAGTTTTATCTTTTGATTTTTTTAATTTTAGAAAATATTGTTTTAGTTTCTAAATATATGTTTTGTTATTAATGGTCTCAAGGGGCTAAACCAATATTTATTTTTGAGATTACAAGACTTAAAAAGCTAGGTTTTAAATTTAAGGTACTAAAATAATATTTTTAGAAATTATAAGATTAAAATTACAAGTTTAAAATTTTGAAGGACAAAAAAAAAATATATCCCAAATTTGAAGGACTAAAAACATAATTAAAATTATTTTTTATATTTATTTCAATATTTTTTTTAAAAATTATCAATAGTTAAAAAAAAGCTTGTATCAACATATGGTTTATCTATCATAAATCTAAAATATAATTTATATGTTTAACATTATTTTTTATTTCTTTAATTATGACACAATACATAATATTAAAAATTATTTATTTACTAAAAATTTAGTTATATAAAATAAATAGTTATCTTATACATTACACAATTTAGTTAAATAAGACCAATTTAGAAGAAAATTATGATCTATTTTATAAGGCATTTTACGTACAATTTCATATAATATTAATTTTAGTTTTTAGTATATTTAAAAATTGTGAATATATATGTTTTTTGTTGTTGATGAATGAGAAGAAAATTTAAGAAATAAATGTTCTCTCTCATTTCTTAAACTTTTTAATTAACAATTGTATTAACATGCCATATATCGATATAACAACACAGCAACATATTGCAATGGAAAATAAATCTTCTATCTTAGGGTTATCGTGCATCACAAAACCTAGAACGCATGTACAAAACCTGTATACACACAAGATTTCAGCGATAAACCAAAACAAAGTGATAAAAGTAGTTTTTATTTTTAACTCAAATTAAAAGGTTATAGACAAAACTACCATGTATTGTCGCCATCTGTTAAGTCTCAATTATACTTCTTTTTGGACAAAACTTATTGAACAATTCCACTCATCCTTTGCACCATTGCAAGATAATTGTTCTCTTTTTGATTCATTTTGTGTGCAGGTATTGAGCTAGAGAATTGAGGATTGAAGACTCATAGGATTGAAAAGTTAAGGAGCTAAGGAGCAGGGAAGAGTAACAGCACCGGGCACAAGACTACCCGCGCCGGGCTTGAGCAAAACAGAGTGTCACACCTCTGCAAGTCATAACTGCACCTGGCGCGAGACTACCCGCACCGGGCGTGATCGAGACAGAGAGTCACTCAATCTCTCTAGAAGACATTGCGCCTGGCTTAAAAGGAATTGCGTCGGGCGTGTCCTGAGGCAGAGAGTAACTAAGCTATCTGGAAGGCCCTACGCCGGGCGCAAAGACTAATGCACCGGGCGCAAAGACTAATGCACCGGGCGTGTAACCCTAATCTGACTCCCCAAGCTCGTATTTGAAGAAATCTTCGAGGTTTTTCTCCTCATTCGCACATTGGACACATTCTAGGAGCTAAGGAAGGGATTCCCAGAGCTTGGGACCGTTCGTGTGTGGGTCTTTCCTTCGGTTCTTCATTTTCTCTTCCATCTCTATTTTTGTTTTCCCCTCATTGTTTTGAGTGGTTTTACCCATTGTTTTGTGGGGTTGGATGTAACCAACAAACTCTATTGTAATCCTTACGTTTTAATGATATATATACATGTTGTTTCACTCATTG